GCATTCACCAAGTTGCTCAACTCTGAATGGCAGCATCTGGGGACTTGGAGGACTTTGTAAACATAGCGGTGGTACGCAGGGGAATGGGACAAGACAAGAATCCCTTTGCATCAATCTCAGTATTCTCGAGTCACACTCCCAGCATGTTCCTTCCAAATGTCCTGACTCTTCAGTTGTTGTAATGTGGTTGTATGTCGAATTTAGTGCATATAATCACAAAATGTTAATCTTCTCAGGATGTAAGATGTGGTATATAAGTAAAACTGTCTTTTAATCGAAGATTTATATATCATGTAAAGTATGTACAATTGTAAAACCTGTGGTGCATGAATTTACCCCATAATTTGCAATGAACAAAATCATTATGTTGACTATCTTCTGTGTCTGTCCTTGGCTGTGGATGAAGTTTGAGTGCAGTTTAAGAACAGGTGTGACTGTGGTGAATGAGTGAATATTTATTTTGATTTGATGCAGGCCCATAATGCACCATTGAGTTCACAACTTTCATCAAATGGCGTTTGATAACTTAATGAAAGTATGTGTCTATGTACTATACAAAGAAAATATATTTATTATTAGCTGTGAAGTTAAAGACATATCATGGTCTGGTATTCAGATCATATTTGAGAAAGAATTGATTCATTTTGCCCTATCAAGATGATGTATTTGGTGGAAAATGAAATCTAGCATGTGGGTTTGATATTATGAGGTTGAACATTACAGTAAGTCAAGAGTTTATAACTGTTAATCTCAACACAAGTCCATGTTCAAATTAGTCTCTCTTCCATATCTGAACTTTCATAACATTTCCAAAAAATCATCTTGTTTGTCATTTTTGTGGTTGTGGTTTTAAAATGACATCAGATTAGAGTAAGAAACCCATGATGGATTACCGTAGCAAAACTCTGAAAATGTTAACAAATTGAACTTGGGTCATTTTGTGAAGGCTCAATTTTGCTTGCAATTCTTTTTCCACATCAGAGATTTGAAGTGCAGTTGAATGTATAAAATACAAAAACTAACCTTGGCTAATCATGCAGTTACTAATTTAAATCATCATTTGAGCGTATAATTCTATTTTAGGTGTTACAAAAATCAACCTTGGAAATGCTTAAGTCAAGAAGTAATCTTGTTTTCTTTTGTCAAAATGTAAGGTTTGTATTTCTTTTGATATCTACATCAAGCATTTTCATTTTAAGACGAATGTGTGTGAATGCATCTTTTCATATCTGCTTCCGCATGTCTAATACTGGGACAGACACTTGCACATGTTGATGAGAACAGTGGATTAAATGGCAGGGCCACCAGGTTTGTTCAAGTATGATGCAGTTTGCTTAATGGTTGGGATTGAGGGAGGAGGGTTGCGGGGAGGGGGGTGGGTGGGCAGGCGGGTAGGAGTGGGAAAAGAACTTGAATTTTCATTGTAGTTTCCAAATTTAATGCTGTACAACCTGTGCTTCTGACAATGTTATTTAAATATTGCTGACAATAACTAACAAACTTAGACTTAGCCAGTAGGATAAGTTCTTACCATAACAAAGTGGAAATTTCCTCATGGTATGTATTGTGACAACCTCCTGCCTCTGAGTGTCATACTGTTGCTGTGTCCCGTGTTAGACTGTCTATTTTTATTTATATATACATATATATAGCTGAACAGACTGTCAATAGTAATACAGGTACGGTGGAGCTGCTTCAAAATTCCACAAAAAGACTCTTGACCTGACAATGTTTATACAATGGCAATGACAGACAAATGGCTGGAGCTCTTGTATTAAGTGTTAGTCCTCATAGTACCCATTAAAACATAATTGAAATGTTGCATTTTAATTCTAAATGACTTAATTTGCACTTTGAAAAATAAAATAACTTACTGAAATATACCTTGAATTTGTTATCTTTTGTATTCTGAAATGAGCAAGCAACAAGTCGGCTTATAACCCAATAGATGGGGGCTAGACATAAGCCTACAATGTAAATGTATATGGCAGCAATACAAGGCAACTAGTTTGGTAATGATAGCCAGAATGGGACTGGAAGGGACAGGCTGTTCACAGAAAAAAAAAAATCAGCAAATAGGGTTAAATGGGGAAAAACTGGTACATAGGCAAAATTAATGGCTCTTAAATACAAGTAAGAATTTGTAACAAAATAAATACATTAATGGGACAGAAAGAGGTTAATGGATACAATTTTGTAGCCATTACAGAGACATAGCTACAAGATCAAAGCTATTAAGTTAAATATTCAGGGGTATGTGATTTTTTTTTTGAGGGGACAGGCAGGAAAGAAAGGGTGATGGGTAGCTTTGATCACAAGATGTAGGAGTAGGAGTATATTATTCAGCTCATTGACTATGTTCTGACATTTAATAAAATTGTGGCTGATCCAATGATCTTCATCTTTACTGCCTTTCCCCCATCAGCATTGATTCCCTTTACTGATTAAAAATATCATCTTTGAATATACTTTACCTACCTCTACAGCCTTCTACAGATTCACTACGCTATGACAGAAGAAATTCCTCGTCTGTCTTTAAATGCATGATCCTTAAACTGACAGTATGTCCTCTGGTCCTAGACTCCCACAAGGGGAAACAAACTTTCCATAGTCCCATAATGGGTGGCATGGTGGCTCAGTGGTTAGCATTGCTGCCTCACAGTGCCTGGGGCCTGGGTTCGATTCCACCCTCGAGCAACTGTCTGTGTGGAGTTTGCACATTCTCCCCATGTCCGTGTGGGTTTCCTCCCGGTGCTCTGGTTTCCTCCCACAGTCCAAAGATGTGCAGGCTAGGTGGACTGGCCATGCCAAATTTCCCATAGTGTTCAGGGATGTGTAGATTAGATGGGTTATAAGGGAATGGGTCTGAGTGGGATGCTCAGGGTCGGTGTGGACTTGTTGGGCCAAAGGGCCTGTTTCCACACTGTAGGGATTCCAAGATCCACTCTGTCAGGTCCCTAAGAATCTTGTATGTTTCAATAAGCTGCTCTCTTATTCTAAATTCCAATGAATAGGGCCCAATCTACTCAACTTCTCAAGACAGTCCCTCCATTACCTGATATCAGCCTAGTTAGTAAAAGACAGAATAGGTACGATAGCAAGAATGATTGTGGATCAGAAGATGTGGAATCCGTATGGCTGCAGGGACGAAATAACAAGGGGAAGAAAATCTAGCCTAAGGGTTATTTATAGATCCCCTAACAGTAGCTATACAACAGGACAGAGAATAAACAGGAGATAATTAGATTGGGACAACTAAATTGATACAGGTAGCCAAAAGGAATGTATATGGGACAGTTTCCTAGAACAATATGTTGTGGATCCAGTAATCTGTAAAGAAACAGGTTTAATAAATTCTCAGTGAAAGATATCCTAGGAAATAGTGACTATAACATGTTAGAATTTAGCATTCAGTTTGTGTGAGACACTTGGATTGGAAAGTGAAAATCTGTCTATATCAAATCAGTAAAGGAATCACGATTCTCAGGAAAAAGGCATGAAAGTGTAGTTGATTTTAAAAAAAGTGCTAGGAGTTTTGGGTGACTCGAACAAGAATGGCTGTTGGAAGTTCCGGGATTTAGATGCTTTAAAAGAAATAGGGAGGGTGGAAAAAGAGGTGGGGGAGTGGCCCTGTTAGTCAGGGCTAGTATAGCAGCTACTGAAAGGCAGTTCGAGAATGATATGTCTACAGACTCAGTTTGGGTTGAGGTCCAGAACAAGAAAGGAGCAGTCACTTTGGGGTTTTTTTTAACAGACCCTCTAATAGTTGCAGAGAAGTGGAGGAGCGGATTGGGAGGCAGATACTAGAAAGGTGCAGAAGTCACAGGGTTGTATTCATGGGTGACTTCAACTTTCCAAATATTGATTGGAACTATATTGAGACTATGAAGGAATGAGGGAGGAGTTAGCTAAGGTAGAATGGGAGCAAAAACTTTTTATGGTGGGTCAATTGAAGAACAGTGGACGACTTTCAAAACGATTTTTCACAGTGCTCAGCAGAAGTATATTCCAGTGATAAGGAAGAACTGTAGGAAAAGAGAGCCAGCCACGGATGTCTAAGGAAATAAAGGAAAGTATCAGATTGAAAAAAAAACCATACAAACAAGCAAAGAGTAGTGGGAAACTAGTAGACTGGGAAATCTTTCAAGGCCAACAGAAAGCCACAAAAAAAGTTATAGAGAAAAGTAAGATAGATTATGAGTGTAAACTAGCTCAGAATGTAAAAACAGGCAGCAAAAGTTTCTATAAATATGTAAATTGTAAAAGAGTGGCGAAGGTATACATTGGTCCTTTAGAGGATGAGAAGGCCAATTTAATAACTGGGAATGAGGAAATAGCTGAGACATTAAACAATTATTTTGTGTCGGTCTTCACTGTGGAAGACATGGAAGACACAAATAACATGCTGAAAACTAATGGCAAGAAGGTTATAGCAGGTGAGGACCTAGAAACTATCATCATCGCTAAGGAGGCAGTGCTGGGCAAGCTAATGGGGCTA